CTGCCCTGATAAATGTTAAAAGACCAACGATACCGAATTGATCGTTCACCATACTCGCGGGGATGTTCGTCACTCTGCCGTCCGGAGATGTCTGAATTCCTGAAAACAGACACAAAATTATTAGAAATTATCGATTTSCCAGAAAAAAAATCGCAATTACATAATTAGAAAAAAACAAAAAACTAATAACATTCATTTAAATAACGTGCGAAGTTTTTACTTCAATGATTACATTTTTACGCCTCTTTCAAGTCTGCAAGTTCGGAAAGGTTTTTAATTAAAAAGTTTTTAACAAACTTACAATTGTGKTGTTTTTTCCAATCAAAGAATTCAAATACATATTAATAAACAATAATAATCTACTTTCTTATCATTATAGAACATGAGCCAAACTTAATTCGAATGAACTTGACAACAAGTAGTAAAATACATGGATTGTATGGAAAATATCTAATATTAACTGATTAAAATAGTACAATTTCTTCTACAAGATTCCAAAATTTAAAGTTTTTTTATACAAATATCGAACAAAAAAAATACGATAGCCGAAAATGATAATTTTTTGTTTTCTTGACAATTATTTTTATCAATTTCGCAGGATTCTAAGAATTTTGGTAAATGAAAATGACTCAACGAAACATAAATAATTATCACTTTCTTGATAATATTATTGTAAAAATTGCACTTTAAAAATATATCTATAAAGTGAAAACAGTTTATTTTTAAGAATTATGTATTTTTAAACATATTCTTTAGGGTTTCACTATTAGGACACGTTTTTTTTTAACACAATGAAGTACTTCTAATTTCTAAATAATTTATTGAAATATATTAGTTTGTTTATACCAGGTGGACAAAAAGTAAACTATGAAACTATTTTTTTTAACTAATTGAATGATAAAGTAAACGATTTTTTACCTCAGGTTGGTGCCAAATTTAAAATTTTAGTTTGGCAACCTTGACTTTCAACTTCAAACGTCAAACTTTTATAGGCAATTGTCATTTATCTGCGACGGGCGATTGCTGATTTAGTCGTCACATGAAACATTCTGATATAACAAATTAGAAGGATTACCAATAATTCAGTGTTGCCAATAGATTTTTTGTCACATCCGGTACTAAAAATGTAGACGTTTCTTAAGAATGATTTTTCAAATTAATTGTTTCTTTTTGAGTTATGCAAAATGTTTAATTTATTCAAATGGCATCCACTATAAAACCTTATTCCTCTCATCACTTTATTCCCTTGTGTTGGATTAATAATCTGGTATTTTATTCCCTCTGAAATAAAACAAAAAAATACCGACTTTTACTCTTAAAATTGAATGAACTGAATATTTTGAAAAATTTATCATTTCCTTATTTTATTATTAATTTAGTCTGTTGGAAAAAAAATTTGTATGCATCTCTGGATTGAATGAAAATGCCCTCGACTTCCTTCGATCGCCTCTCTCTCGGAATTAATTGTTCTTAATACATAAACAATTATTTTTACACGTTTTATTCAATTTTTATCGAAAAAAAAAAATTGTATAAGTTGCAATTTTGAGAAAAATTTCATCACATTTTTCATAGTGCTTTAATTTTTATTAATTATTATTTTCTGAAAACAAATGATAAAAATACCGCTTGTTCCATACTTTTTGTTCACCTACTTTTGCTCTCACCAACCTTTCTTTTACTAAATAAAATATCTTTTTCTAAAACAATTATTTTCACTTGGTGTTATCGTAAATGTCTTGTAAATAAAATCTTGCAAAATCAGTTTAATGATATTATAATTTATGCATTTATAACAACGCAATTCAGTGACACCAAATTCACACATAATAAATTCACATATAAACGATTTTTATGTCATCACCTGTTATTATCACGAAAAGTCGGAAATTACTAATTGATTTTTATCAAAAAATAAGACATCTAAGAAAGTAATGAGTACATTTTTTTTTGCCAAAAAGCAATAAAATTTCTAATCAAAGTGGCCTGTAATTTTTAAATTAAGTTGGCAACATTGAATAATGTAAAAGTTCCCACACTAAATGACTGTGATTCTACTCATCAAGTAGGCCACAACTCTAAAACCTAAATTTGGCAACACTCAAATTTAAACGTCACAATTTAATAGTTAATTGTCATTCATTTTTGACGACTACCATAATCGTCTGCTCTAAGAATTCAGTGTTGCCAACATTTTCCGTCTCAACCTTCTAATTTGCTATTTTTCAGCGGTTACRCGTCACAAATGAATGACAATTGCCTGTAAAAGTTTGACGTTTGAATTTGACAATCAAGGTTGCCAAATTAAGATTTTAAGTTTGACGCCAYCTTGACGATAAAAACAACGTCATTTACAGTCGCTGAACATAAGACAATGTWGCCAACTTAATTTCAGTCACAGACCACTTTGATCGGAAATTTAATTAAACATTTGGTATTTTTAACAATACTTCTTTACTACAACGCATTTATGTTATGGGTCAGTTATTATTTTAATTGTTTCAGATTTTATCTACTTTTTGCAAGCTTTGTTCTGCGAATTATTCACACAATAAATGAAAATCAACCGTTAAGTGCAAAACTTATCAAAACTGAAGGATTTTATAAATAAAAAAAATAAATCTTTTAATAAAAATTACGAGAAAAATAGGATCAGTTCCTCGAAATCTCGATGATAGAAATAATACGCAAATCACTTATCACTAATAAAGTAAATATCAGTCATGTTATCGATGTTATTTGGCTGAGATAAGCAACTACCTGATTTGGCGCTGTTTTTGTCGTTCTCCCTGGCACTGGAGGAGCCGTCTCCTCCACCCCCCGTATTGTTTTTCTCTCCTGACGTGCTCCCCCCCGGCGAGACTCCCTCCCGATTTTGCGTTCCCGGCAACGCAGGAAAGTCTTCGTTTGACATAGTAAATTCACTCGCTTCCGACGTGGGTTGTTTCACCATCCCCACATAGGGCTTCGCACCGGGCATGGGGCTCGGCTGTGGAACGTTATCTCCCGAACTTCGGTTCGTTAACGAAGGAAATTCACTAAGATCCAATAATGACGGGGTGTTAGTGTCTCCTGAGCCAAACACAGAATTAAAGGAACTATAACCTCCCAACGAACTCATGTTACCCATTTGGCTACTATTTCTACAACAGAACAGATTATTATGTTCGAGTAACTGAAATGCTGCCATTTGAGTTATGACACTTAGGTTATGATAACTTTGACATAAACAAACTCAAGTTGGTCTGGATTGGGGCCAACTGGAGCCCGTTTATGGGAGTAGTTACCCCATGGCGGGAATCCCCCTCCTGTCTGAAGGCGCTCTTTGCCCGAAAACAGGGGTAACATGACCAGACATAGAGTTACTTCCAAAACTAACACTGGATCTTCCGAGGCTGCTACCTCCTATGTTCCTTGTAAAGTTCAAATTCGCCATAGCTATCTCGTGCGGGGTGGGCCACCTTTTAGCATAACGGAATCACGGTCGGACACTGAAAAAATCGCCCCTTTCTGCGCCACACTTCTTGGATTATACTATCAGCACAAAAAATACAAATAACATCATAAACACTTGAGACTTAAATGCACGGTTTTCGCTTCAACTAGACTATTGAGACCACTTAATGAAGAATGCACGACTCCTATAGGGCTCGGAGCACGAAAAAAACCTCTCGCTATACTAAATAAAGGCGTAATTTTGACAAAGTGGATGTTATTGTCCAAGTTCGCTCCGCCATTACCGTCGGAAATGTCAAGATGGTTCTTTCGACAATGTCAGCTGTCAACTAAGCTTCCTAACGCGTCCGCCAGATGGACAGTCAAATTAACGCAATGTTGGTTGCATAATGTTTTAAATTTAAACGTTTTATTTCACTCTTCTCCACTTTAAACACACTGATGTTCTAATTTACAAAAAAACAAGTTTTCAATGTTTTAATTACAAAAACAAAATTTTTGTTGTGCAATAAACAGATAAAAATTTGTCATGTATGACTTTGTAAAAAAATGTTAAAAAAATTAAGTTTACAAATTTTTCTATATAACTCTTTAAAAATGATAGCGATTGATTAAATATACAATGTACTTAAAAAAATAAGCAACTGGGCTAAAAAATGCCACTACGCGGCGCATCCACCATTTCTATTACTTCCATGAAACCTCAAATAGTGGGAAAAAAAAGAAATTATTATAAACGTATAATTATTATTACTTCGTAACAATGATTTAGACAAACAGTAAGATTTAAAATGTTACTTCTGGACCAGGATACGTGGCGTCTCAAAAAACAAGGCAGAATTCTATTTTTAATATCATACCTAGAGAGTGGGTGAAGAGAATTTTATGGATTTAGAGGAATCTTTTGATTTGTTCGTATTATTTATTAATTTTTATATTTTTATGGTTTAAATAGAATAATTTTCTTTATATATATTTTTTTCTTCTTTGGTTTGTTTATTTTTTATTAATTGAGCTAGCTTAATTTAGAGCGTAGTACTGAAGAT